TTGCGGAACCGGTGATTGAACTCAGGCCCTTGTGCTTGTCAAGGAAGTGCTTATTCCACTGAGCCATCTCCCCAGCCCCCAAAATAATTTAAAAAACAGTAAACAAAAAGCTTTTTGGAAAATTAGCATTGTTCACTAGAATTTATTCAGTGGAAATCAGTAATGATACTACTTTTGCAGATCGTAGGAATGATTTTTTACCAGTGTCTCTATGTATCATTTTTGAACATTTTTGACTGGCTGTTTAAGACTATTACAATTTAATGCTTTTTAGACTATTCTCCTATATTTTGCAGTGCTTAGATTCTGGTATCTTTAATCCGAATACATATCCCAGCCAGTTGTTTGCATTCTAGAGCATTTTAATTTTGGCGGCTCACAGTTTCTAGTATGAGTAATCATTATCATCATCATCATCATAGGAAGTCACTATGAACTTCAGTGCTGACTATATTAGTTCAACGGATAGTTTTGAGTGCCTCCTCTGTGCTACAGAGTGTCCAATATTCTGAGACTACAGCAGTAAAAACAGTGGACAAACCCCTGTACTCACATCTAGTTCAGGCATAGGCAAGATAAATCACTAGAATTTATATGTGAAGGTGTTAAGGGGATAGAGTTACTAAAGAGCAGACGCTTTGGAGGATGGGAGTAGAGAGCTGCAATTTTCAATCAGGTAACCCAGAAAGGGTTGAGAATTTGTATATGATAAAAGCTTAAAAGAAATCAAAGAGTGGGCCATGCCGATTCCAGAGAGAGGAGTGTTGAGCCTTCTGGGAGAGGGAAGGAGGGCAGAGGCTGTGAGGGCATGTGTTTGCTGTGTTTGAGTGATAGGGAAGAGACCAACGTCACCAGCTCACTGGATTAGGTTGGGATGAAGTCAGGGAGATCACGAAGCATCAGAGCATCTCAGGCCCTGAGATCGTGCGTGTGGGCCCCGGACCTAAGTTTAGTAGGATCACTTTGGCTGAATCAGTTCTTTCTTCCTCACAGCAATCCTGTAAGGTAGATTTTGTTATTATCTTTGTAAGACAAGTGAGGAAACTGACAAAAAGAAGTGGTGTATTCAGTTAGAGGTTTAGATTCCTGACTCACACTCAAGTTATTTTCAGCTGCAGAGCCTGCAGTCTTAGTAGCCAGGCTGTTGTGGTCATTTTCCTCATAATGCAGTTAAAGCTTTTAAATAACTCTAGGGTCCACTGTAAATGTGAAATATTGGACATACCATTAAAATACTGACTTACCTGGTTTTCTATTTCTTTTATTTGATTGTGCTGTTGGTTTAATTGTTTATATTGTTGTTCCACTGTCTGGAGAAGGTCTTTGATGTTGTTGTCTTGCTGTTCTACAAAAGTCTGGATATAGATGGTAATTTGATTAAAGATTTTCTTTCTGTTGTTTTATTAATAGCTATCATATAATTTTTAGATTAATAGATTAGAAAAACAAATATTGGCAATCACTTTCTCGTATGATTTTTAAAAAGCATATATGATACTCTGAACTTCAGCTACAACAATACCCCTCACCCTATTTTAATAGGAATAATTACCACTTACTGTATTGTATTTGTGTTTTTGAACATGGAAGAATGGTTTTAGATTCACTGAACTTTTTACTTCAAGTAATTTGCAATAGTATAATTAATATTCTAAATTTTATTACTTAACTGATTTCTAATTTTTACATGAAATACAAAGTTTACCAAAAAAAACCCAAAAAAACAAAGTTTAGTTACTTTCATATGTATGATTAGCAAAATGAAAACCAACTTGCAATTAAAATGGAAATCTTGTACAAAGGATATTTTTCTTTTCTTTTCTTTTCTTTTTTTTTTTTTTTTTTTGCAAAACCGGGGATTGAACTCAGGCCTTCGCACTTGCCAGGGAAGCACTTATTCCACTGAGCCATCTCCCCGGCCCCTCAAAGGATATTTTTCTGGAGAAAAATAAATTATTTTAATAATGTAACAATTTCAAATAGTATGTCTCAGAAATACTTTTTTTTTAGAAGTCCACACTGAAAACATAATCATGAACCCCTTTTGATTTCTTACTTACTTTAAGTGATGTTACTTCTGGGTGATCCTGAATGTCAGGTTGATTTTGAATTAAATTAGTTAATTGTTCCTCCAAATATTTCACTTTTTGCTGAAGTAGAAATTTTTCATCTAAGAGGCTTTCAAGTTTTGAGTTGAGTTCCAGTGACATGTTCTTCACTTCTTCATTTCTAACTTGTAGTTTGGATGTAATTCTTCTCAGTTCTTTTTCTTCTTCTTTAATTTCATTGGTTTGCAGTGATAGATCATAAAAAGACTGATCAAATATGTTGAGTTTTTGAAATATGTCATTAATTTGGCCCTTAATCTTATGGACAAAGTCTCTAAGACCGTGTCCCAACTGAAGGAGGCCATTACCTAAAATTTTTACATCATCTAACATAGCAAATCTTGATTTTGACTCTGAAGATATAAAATCAAATGATAAATTGTCTTGATCAGTTCTGGAAGAAAGAACTAGAGGAACAATAATGAGAAAGAACTTAATTGTGTACATTTTTCCCCCTAATTATCCAGTTTCGGGGAATTTTGAATAATTTTCTCCTATAAGCAGACCTGGCCTTTTTAACTTTATGTATAGCAGGATTTGCTGCATAAAAGGCAAGGTGGGCAGGTGAATATAGTTAATCATTAAGCTGTGGTCACTTGCACGAATGTAACCTTCTTTCACGTTGAGTTAGATCAATGCCAAATGAAATCAAGGAAATGAGAGTAGGAGGTTGGAAATTGTTATTAGTAACTTTGCTATACTATAAAGTGCTTTTAGTGTTAGAGAACAAACTTGTTTTTAGAAGCTCCTTTTAGTATTTTATGACTTTAAAATAGATTTTACAAATCAAAAACTTTAGATGGGTAACTTCATCATTAAAACTGAGGAGAAATTAAAATGAATTGAGTGTGTATCTCACAAATTGTATTGTGATGCTTTTATACACAGTCTCGATCACCAGGATTCTTTCTCTGTGAAGTCTGCCTTTATTCTTTCAGGTGGTGTGATGACTCCAAGTGCTGTACTTCCATGGACTCTGTCTAAGCTAACATCATTATTGCTCCTCATTATTTGTCACTGTAATCATGTGTTAGTGTGACTTTTGCCATCCTTGCAATTCATCGTAAAATCTCATACTTCATAAACATCAGCACAGCCGTGTGTGTGCCTTTCCTCACCGACTGCTGGAAAACCAGTAGATACTTGGTCTTCTTTAGCCAAGCAAGAATTAAAACTGAAATTCTTCAAGTGTAAGAAGCTGTCATTAGCCCGCCGTAAGTTTTCTCAAGTTGGCAATCTTAGTAACAATTTTGATATTGTAAATTCAACTAAAGGCAAAGATTAATAATACATCTGAAATTGAAAATTCCATTATCCTTGTTAGTGCTAAAAGAAAATTATAAGTGGTAATCTTTTTTTTTTTCCTTCATCGTATTTATTTGGTACAGAGTCTCACTACGCAGCTCAGACTTGTAGCAGTCCTCCTGTTTTCAGCCTTGCCAGCGCTGGGATTACAAACATGTGTGCTACCATGCCTGGACCTGGTCACTGGCTCAGCATGCTTGGGGGCGGGGCTGACGTGGCATGTGGGACCAGGGATTGAACCCTGGTCCCTTCACTTGCCAAACCAGGCGCATAGTCTGCTGAGTTATCCAGCCCTTTAAAGGTGGTGCTCTTAAGTGATTATTCATGTCAAGAACTTTGAGAAACTGATATGATAAAATTGTTACTGTAGATTCTGGAATCTGTCTATGGTTTGAATCCAAAGGCAGCTTTAGCTGTTTGGTTTTGGACAAATTATTTAACTTCCTCATACTATAGTTCTCATTTGTATTAGGAAAACTGTAGTACATAGTTCATTGAGTTGTGAGGATTTTTTTTTTTAAACATTTTTTTTTTAACATTTATTTATTTGTGTGTGTGTGTGTGTGTGTGTGCACGCGCGCAGCCAGCTCAGCCCACCAGGGGGCGCGGCTGGCTGGCATGTGGTGCTGGGGGATCGAACCGCGGTCCCTGTGCATTGCCAAGCTTGTTCCAAGTAGGTGCTTTAGACCACTGAGCCATCTCTCCAGCCC